TTAAATATTAAGTTTTTCATTATATATGTACATATGTATGTCTGTTGGCGCCCTGGTTTTAAGCTGGCTTTGTAAGCTTTGTAAAGCATGCTTTTCTGAACTACTTGAATACTTCGCAGTTGAAAGAGTGAATTCCACTTCAAAACTTTGTTGCATAAAGTATAAGAATAATACAAAAATATTTATCTACATATAAGTGCATATAAATTTCTGCATATTTACCTCGTGAAGGTAAAATGTTTGAAGTTGCATTTAATATTTTTAAAATTTAATACGAGTACGAGTATTCTTAGTTTACGCAGCTCGTTTATGTCAGGCTCTTAAAACAAAAAAGCAGTTGTAGTGCACACTTGGTGTAAGAAGGAAAATAGAAGGAGAAGAATACTAAAGTCGTAGATTTAAAACTGTGGCATATACTTGGAATGTTTGAAATACTTGTATGACGTAAATGCAGTTATACGCTCCACGAACCGTTTACTAAGTTATTTCGCCTCTGCACAATTTCATCAATTTATGCAGCAAATTGGATTTTTCCGCAGTGTAAGAGTACATTTGAAAAAAATTATATGAGAAAACTTATGTTTTCAGTGTACAAAAACAAAAATAAACGTAAAAATTAGTTTAAGTGTAGTGGGCGGAAGCTGGTTGTCAGTAGCGTTTGTAAACAATATCTGTGAACAAGTTGTTTACTATTTTCTTTATTATAATTTTTTCTTTACTACTGATTTTTTTCTCCTGTTTTTGATTTTTCGTAATAATTTCATGCTCGTCTCTAAATGCCACACCACTTGAAGATAAAAGTATTAAAAGAAAAACTTGAAACTTGCTGTTTACCAGGTTCGTGGCAGTGAAAAGTTGTTAAGATACAAGATACAAGCTACAAGCTACACGTCCCCCGAGATGGATGCATGGCCGTTTAAGTGTTAAAGTTTGAGTTTTGCGCTGAAACAAGCGAAAAACACTTTCGAATGCAGAGCAAATTTGTAAACATCAGTGCCGAATTAATGATCAACATGAATGAAAGGCACACATGTTCCGAAACGTGGCCAATGTGAAAGACAGCAAAAGATTTCGCCAAACCAACAACCAACAAAGCAAGTAACGAGCAAATAAAATAATAAATAAAATTGTGAGGAAAAGAGCACAAGTGGAAAAATGAAATTTCCACTAATGTTCACAAACCTTGTACGAATACAAACGTTTCATATAAAAAAGGGTGCATATTTAATAAAACACAGACTTCCAAACTCGAACGCAGATACATCAAGGCAAGCAACAGAACGTCGCAGCAAAGGCAAGGCATTTTATTGTCCAAAATTTCTTATGAAAGAGTAGCTAAGAAGTAAATACTCGTAACAGGAAAATGACAAATTGGCTAAGTTCTTTTCAGACGGACTTGTACTTTATTATTATTTTTATATTTGTTTGTTTGCTTTATGCTAGTACATCCAAAAAAAATGTGTAAAATAAAACAACGCTTTATTGGTCAACCGGACTCTCACACCCAAATTGTTACCCCTGGGTACTAAAGAAGTGGTAGTGTATACAATACTGACATATTATTTCCCGATCGTAACTGTCGCCAAGTACTAAATCAGTGCTAACATTATTCTTACATAGTACAGAAAAAAAAAATGTAGCAATACTTTCATTATTCCCGCTGTCGAGAAATTCCAAAGCAAATCAATTCGTTGTGGTTTTGTTGGAAACGTAACCTTAAATCCTTCCTAACATATTGAAATATTAGTAAACGGAAACGCAAGTACAACCCGGAAGCCATTTTATGTGTAAAGCGCAGTTCAATAAACACTTTCTGTGCTTTATTTCTTTAATTTTCTTTTGCCGCAGTAGGACGTCCTGCTTTCTTTTGCTCGTACGCTTCCTTCCGTATAACCGAAATAGGTGCGTCATCAGTGTTAATTTAAAATTCAAAAAACGTTTTCAACAAATTTTCGCTTCGTTGATTTCATTTTAATTTTTGTCTTCTCTTTATTTTTTTTCCATTTTCATTGGTGAGCTTTTATTTTCTTGTAAAACATTTTTTCTTGTCAATTGTAAAATGGGTGCGAGTAATGTGTGGTAACCCTTTTTTTTTTGGTGACATTTTGTAATTTAAAATTAAAAAATTTCGATTTATTTGCATGTCACATCAATCGAAGTCAACGAAAAAAAAAACAAGACGGATTTTAGCCTTTAAGCTTTCAGTATTTTTTATTTTGTAATTTCAGCATTCCAATAAGTAATACAAGCCTTTGAACTTAGATTATACATTTGTGTTATGCAAATTCTTTACATTCTAATAAAACCGTCTATTATTCAAATTGACTAACGCTATTTATTATATTAAAAATCAGTTTTTGAGCGGTTTGTGCTGAATAGAACTTAAACGCTTATTCTTGCCTGTCATTTTGGTTGGAGTTAAATTTAGGGAAAAATGGTATCTGGGATTTAAGGGGTGTTTATTATGGTATCACTAGAGAAATACATTTAGATTATTCACAAAATTTATCAGATCATTTGGTTAACGCATGTAGATATCTAATCATTACCTCTATGATTCACTAGGAGATGAGGATGACAAAATCAACACCGACAATAGGACTCGTTATAATTAAATCCAACACTCAGAAAATTGACCTGATCATTTTATTAGAAAAATTTTAGCTTATATGGTATGATTCAACCAATATTATGTGTCGTAAAAATCTTGTTAAATCAACCAAATTATTTTTCTAAGTGCATTTCATCTAATAAACAAAAGTAAAAAAAAATACTTAATGATTCATGAAGTCTATAAGTGCCGGCAGTCATTAATTCCATTTTTGTGTGGGGGTATTTTAGGTAAAATGATATAGTGGGATCTGCGTTGTTTATATGGTATTACTAGAAAAATTTTTTAGTTTTAGTCATTACTACAATCCTTGTGAGCATCACACAATTAATGGGATTACGGCAAGTTCAGAGAATAATTGAGTAGCTAAATAAACCATTTTATTTTCATTGAAAATTATTCTCATTATTTTAAAGGATTTAGAATTCGATTTTTCAAATCAACTATGACTATCAGAAGTACTAACTATCAAAATTGCCCAAAATTAGCATATATAAATACATATATATATATGTATAATGGACAATGGTACTATTGTACGTCCAAACAAATTCTTTCTATGTATATATATGTTATACATTATCATCTTAGAAGACAAAGAAAAAAAGATAAAATAAGCACAATGAGCATATACAAAAAAAAAAAAATTCAAATAGAAATTAATTAAAAACGTGCAAAATTTGGAAAAAGGACGGAAGAAAATAAAACACATAAGATAAAAGATTGATGTAGATATATTTATAATTGCAGAGATAGATAGAAAAATATATCTAGGTATATATTAGAAGGTATAAAAACGGGGAAAGAGATGGAGCAAAAGTAAAGAAAAAACAAGAAATATTAAAAAAGAGATAAACAGTAGAAAAAGAGAGAGAGAAAGAATAAAAATAAATTATGAAAATAACAATAATAAATACATTTAGGGTAAAGAATAGAGATTAAAAGCTGGAGGAGTTTGAAAAGGTTTTAAAATAAAAACAACAATTATAGTAAAAAGAAAAACTTATCAACTAAAAGTAGTTTTAGAGGAAATAGAGAGAAAACAGAGAGAAAAAACAGAGCAGGAGAAAACAAAGATAAAAATAGCATAGTATAAAAAAGGCCTATGCTCCAATGGGAAATACTGACATTGATGATGATGATATAGAAAAATAAAGATAGCGAGCATAATTAGCAAAGAGATTAAAAATAAAGATTGTAGACATAAGATTATACACAAAAGATCGAAGGGTGAGCTTTTCTGATTTAAATTTACTTTTACTATCAGTAAAATCATTTTTTTATATAAAACAAAAAGTCTGTTGTCCAGTACATAATAATAAGAATAAGAATAAGAAAGAACAGGGAACAGCTCCCATTTGAGCAGAGCACCGCGACCATGATTGATCTTTTGTGCTACAACAGACCCTAACTGAACAAAAGACATTGTTGAAGACCTCCTAATGTCGGAAGGTGTTAGCAATTGCCGACCCAGTGATCTCCTCCTGGCACAGATCAAAGCTGGGCAGTCACATAGAATGTGGCTGGTTGTCTCCTCTGCCTCCAAGCAGAGTCTACAATCTATCTCTTCGGATAGGCCCATTTTGTTGAGGTGGTAACATAGCCCATGGTGACCCGTTAGATATCCCACTAGCAACCTCAACTCTGTTCTGCTAAAGGAGGATATCTTATTATAACTATAGGGGAGAACTAGCTCTTTAGCCTGACGGTTACCTCGACTGTCGCGCCAGTAGCAACTTCTCTCGGTTGAGATCCAATTATTGATTAGAGACCTAGTTGTAGACCAACTTAATCCACAAAAAGGTTCTGGGGCACAGATTAGAGTGGCGGATCCTGCCCGTGCAAGACTATCGGCAGACTCATTACCATTAATTCCTGTGTGACCAGGCACGCAGCACAGTGTCACTTTATTATTGCTTGCCAGCTGCTGCAGTGTGTCATAGCAGTCTGCTAGAAGTTTTGAGAAAAACTTCCAGGAGCATAACGCTATTATGTTGTCCAGTACATAATAATATTATAATTTTTTTTTTAATTTATTCTTTTGTAGCTTGAGCTGTGGTTTATAATTAGTTATTAAGTCATACAATTAATGAAGTTTCATTTCACAGCGTTATTTTAATTATTTGATTTTAATACAATAACTGGGATAGAATAGTATTTTTTAAAAATTTTATTAAATATTACTTTTAATGAAGTCCTAATTAACTTATTTTCAAAAAATGAACACCTTTATCCAGAAATTAAAACTACTTTATAACATTATTAAAAGTATATTTTTAGATTACTTCCACACTTTTAATATTAACATTTCCTAAAGCAAATTTAATTTGATTATACACAATTATTTTGAGGTAATTTACGTATAACATTTTCAACATTTCTAGTATTAATGCCTTCGAAGCCAAAATCGGTACGTGACCTATAAACCAATAACCAAAATATTTTTGAACTGTCAAATATGAATTCCATATTAAAACTCCCAATTCATCAAGTGGATTTGATTGGGGGCAAAGTGTGTCTTTAATTACGATGACAAATCAAGCAAACATTCATAATCAATTTCCTTTCTTATAATATAAATACAAATACAACCCCATTCACACTTAATAAATTACACCCTCTAATCAGTACACAAAAGTAAGATAAGCAAAACTGTGAAATACTTTAACATTGAGTGAATTATTAGGTGTAAAACAGCATATAAGAATCGACAGATATTCAGTAAAGCGAAGAAGTGTTTGTCAATTTCATTCTAATTACGAAAATAATCCATTTAGCCGCCGATAATGCTTTGCCGTCCTACGAGTACCTGAGCATAGACGGACCACTTTAACTGCTGACTTGACAAATTGACTAATGGGCACAAATGAAAAGCAAACAAAAAGTGAGAAAATTCAATTGAAAAATTTTCCATGACAATTTTTCACCTTTTTTTATTTTCACCATTTTTTTATTCAGTTCATTC